TTGTTGTTTGGCGGGCCGGGCTGGGGATTCGAACCCGCCACCTTAGGTTTATGTGGCTGGCACCTTAGCTGCTTGAGCCACAGGCGCCGAGCCACATTTGATCGCATTTTGAGGGAAAATTAGATCTGGCTTATCTGTGATGTTCTCTTCAAGCTATAGAATAAATGAAAGACTTCATAGAGTCTGTCTCCCAACGTGATAATTATTTCCTAACTTGCGATGTGTGTGATTATACCCATTTCATATGTATATAATTTAATGTAGGACTACTGGAGAAATGAATGATTACCAAGTATTTATTGCATACTTACTCAGCACTGTGCTGATGGTTTTAAAGAAGGTTAAGTAAAAGGACTCAGACTTGGCGCCTGTAGCTCAGCACCTAGCAGGGGTCCTCAAACTTTTTAAACAGGGGGCCAGTTCACTGTCCCTCAGACCATTGGAGGGCCAGACTGTGGGTACCAGGATGAGTCGGCTGCTAAGAAGGACAGGCAGCAGTGGCACAAACACCCGGTGGTCCCGATAAATATCCTCATCGGGCCACAGTTCGAGGATGCCTTGGCCAAGGAGCCAGCCACATACACCGGAACTGGTGGGTTTGAATGCAGCCTGGGCCTGCCAAACAACAATGACAACTACAAACAAACAAAAAAAACATGGCTTAGCCTTGTGGCAGATGCCTTGGCACTGTACCAAAGATGACATGGTAAGACTCTGCCTGGAAAAAAAAAAAGAATGTTAAGTAAAGGAATATGACAGTTTCTACTGTCAAACAGCTCACATTATGTAAGGGTACATATAAGATCCATGACCATAAAGTTAAGTGCTAAATGGTATATTAGTGAGTATGAATACAGTTTAGAAAATGGAAGATCATGGCTCGGCACCTGTAGCACAGTGGTTACGGTGCCAGCCACATGCACCGAAGGTGGTGGGTTTGAACCCAGCCTGGGCCAGCTACTTAAGAGGCTGGGCAAGAGAATTGCTTAAGCCCAAGAGTTCGAGATTGCTGTGAGCTGTGATGCCACAGCACTCTACCCGGGGCGACACAGTAAGATTCTATCTCAAAAAAAAAAAAAAAAAAAGAAGAAGGAAGATCATTATGGACTGGAATAGTTGAAGGGAAGTTGGACTTAATAGGGATTTGCAAAAGCAAAGAGTGCACCTGAAGACAATCCAAATAAGAATAATCGTCATGGGTGGTGCCTGTGGCTTAAAGAGTAGGGCGCCAGGCCCATATACTGGAGGTGGGGGGTTCAAACCTGACCCTGGCCAAAAACTGCAAAAAAAAAAAAAAAAAAGAATAAGTGTAAAAATCATAGAAACATATGTGACTTAGGAAAATTAAAATTCAAATCTATTCAAATTTATAGCTGGAGGAAAAGAAATCATAAGAGAATTGGTTTTAAAGGAAATGAAATTACTGTTACTGAATTTTCTCATTTTAGGAATATTTCTGAACACCAAGCCTGAATTTTTTCACATGCATAAGTGTCTAAGCTTAACCTTTATAAACTGTGGGATATAAAATTAGGATTTGATTTGTAAAAATAATCTATTAAAAATATGTTTTTCAGCCGCCTGTCTTGGTTAGATGGCTCTGGATTGGGATTCTCATTGGAGTACCCCACCATTAGTTTACATGCTGTGTCCAGGGACCTAAATGCCTATCCACGAGAGCATTTGTATGTTATGGTGAATGCCAAATGTGGAGGTATGTATGGTGTAATTTAATCTAATGCTTCCTTTGATAGGAAATAACATTTGTGAGTTCAGTGAGTAGGGCGCTGGCCACATAACACCAGGGCTGGCAGGTTTGAACCCAGCCTGGGCCAGCTAAACAACAGTGACAACTACAACCAAAAAAAAGCTGGGCATGTGGTGGGCACCTGTAGTCCCAGCTACTTAGGAGGCTGAGGCAAGAGAATTGCTTAAGCCCAAGAGTTTGAGGTTGCTGAGAGCTGTGATGCCACAGCACTCTATCAGGGGCAACATAATGAGACTCTGTCTCAACAAAAAAAAAAAAAGAAAAAGCAGTCTTTGGTTGGGTGGTAACTCACAGATTAATCTCAATGCATTGGGAAGCTGAGGTAGAGGAACACTTGAGGCCATGTGTTCAAGAGCAGCTCAGGTAATGTAGTTAGTAGCCACTTGGGAAACTCAGGTAGGGTGATTGCTTGAGCCCTGGAGTTCCAGGCTGCAGTGAGCTACAATCATGCCACTGCACTCTAGCCTGGGCAACAGAAGCAGACCCTGTCTCTACTAAAAACAGAGAAATTAGCTGGGTGTTGTGTCAGGCACCTGTAGTCCCAGTGCCTATATTTTCAGGAATCTGAGGATGCCGTGAGTTATGATGCCATAGCACTCTACCCAGAATGACAGTAGAGTGAGACTACCTCTAAAAAAATTTAAAATTTTAAAAGCAGTCTTTGATAATAATCAGTGTAATATTGACCTACTTTCAGCAGTAGTTAAGCAAAATTTTAACATAGTAAAATAATTTGAACATTTGTGTATATTTGCCTTTGTTTTCTATATATTTGTATTTAGAATTTATTGTGGATATGTATTTTCCTCTTGTGTTTAACTATTCTCTTTCTCTTGTAAAGGTCCCCTTAGAAATTTGGATCAGTATACTTTGTGCTTCTGGGAATTTATGATGTCATTAAATATGAAATGTCCAATTTTTATTTTTTTTTGAGACAGACGCTCACGTTTTCACCCTCTAAAGTGCTATGGCATCATAGCTCCCAGCAGTCCCCAACTTTTGGGCTCAAGAGATCCTCTTGCCTCAGCCTCCCAGGTAGCTGGGACTACAGGCACCTGCCACAATGCCCAGCTGGTTTTAGAGATGAGGTCTCACTCTTGCTCAGGCTGGTCTTAAACCTGTGAGCTCAGGGCAATCCACTCACTTCAGCTTCCCAGAGGGCTAGGATTACTGGCGTGAGGGACTGCTCCCTGCCTTGAAATGTCTAATTTTAAATCAGAAGTTTAGTTTATTGTATCTCAAACAAGAAGCAATGCAGTTAATCATAGTATGCACTTAAACTGTGAACAGTTTTGCCATCCTCAACCAGTAGCTGGTTTAGGCCAGCAGCAAAGAAGCCTGGGTAGGAAGTGGCTATAAAATCATGAAAGGCATTTTTTTTTTTTTTTTTT